GAGTGCCTCCTTGCAGCAGAGAAAAATATAGTCGCTGTAAGAGCCTCTCGTGGTGACCCTCGTGCCCCCTTCTTTGAGGGGTGCTCCCCTGTCCCCCCTTTTGCCCTCTGTTGCCTCTGCTGCTGCTGTCGACCTCCTTCGCACCGAGTTGGTCGGCGCTGCGTCTGCTCCTAGCGGGAGGCGCCGCAACCGCAAGGGCAAGGGGGGCAAGGGCGCTGGAGGAGTTGGCGGGGGCGGCGGTGGTGGCGGTGGAGGCGGAGGAGGGGGTGGGGGTGGGAGTGGTGGCGGGGGTGGGGGCTTCGGTGGCGGCGGTGGAGGTGGAGGCGGCGGAGGCGGTGGCGGTGGGGGTGGAGGCGGCAGCGGCGGAGGTGGAGCTGGTCGAGGTGGAGCTGTGAAGCGGGGACCCCAGCAGCAGCAGCGCTCTCGTGAGACCCCGTCGCCCCAGCAGCTTCATGAGTGGTACGCTGGGCGCCAGCGGTCTGGGGGTGCTGGTCCCTGTGCCTACGTCCTGCGCACCGGCGACCGCACTGGGGAGCCGTGCGGCGGGCCGCACGCCACCCAGCACTGCTTCGGCCGCCTAACAGACGCCTGGCGTACCCAATTTCCTGACGCCACTGAGATCCCTCGCTGGGGTGATCTGCTCAAGTCGGGTGTAGCTATCTTTGATCTTGATTTTGATGCTATCCTTGCTGCCATGTATGCTGTGTCTATTAGTGCTGAGGGTGACTGTTACCTGTGTGTTCCGCCTGACCCAGGCATTAAGCTGCTGCTCTAGGTGCTAGTGAGTCTGCTGCTCCAGGTGCTGGTGAGTCTGCTCTCTCAGGTACCGCGCCGGCTCAGGTTTTGCACACCTTCACCATTGACTCGGGTGCTTCCCGCTCCTTCTTTCGAGACCGCACCACACTCACGCCGCTGAGTCGGCCGATTGCGGTCTCCCTGGCAGACCCCTCTGGGGGTCCTGTCCTTGCCCACTACTCCACTGTGCTACCGTATCCAGCGGCCTCGTCTGGCTCCCTGTCAGGTCTCTACCTCCCCTCGTTCTCTACGAACTTGGTGAGTGGTGCTGACCTACAGGATGGAGGGGTTGACCAGTTCACTCCTGCGAGTCAGCGAGTAACCCACTGCACGTGTGCTCGGACGGGCCGACACTTGGCCACGTTTACCCGTCAGCCGGGGTCAAGCCTGTACACCCTGACTACCGAGTCTCCTCCGGTTGCTGCGTCTGGTCAGGTACCGGCGTCCGGTCAGGTGTTTGCTGCAGCGTCTCGGTCAGGTCCTGAGTTTGCCCCCTGCTCGTGTTGCCTCCTGTCCCACCAGACCCTCCTCTGGCACCACCGCCTTGGTCACCCCTCCCTGCCTCGTCTCCGAGGCATGGCCTCCCGTGTTCTTGTCTCTGGTCTGCCCCGGTCCCTCCCTCCCCTTCCTCCGAGGCCTGCCCCTACCTGCGTTCCCTGTGTCGAGGGGCGGCAGCGCGCCGCTCCTCACTCCTCCGAGTTTCCTCCGATAGAGGCTCCGCTGCAGACTCTCCACATGGACGTGTGGGGCCCAGCCCGCGTCCGTGGACAGGGTCACGAGCGTTACTTCCTGCTGGTGGTTGACGACTACTCGCGTTACACCACAGTCTTCCCCTTGCGCCGCAAGGGTGAGGTCACTGAGGTGTTGATCGACTGGATCCGCGCTGCCCGTCTCCAGCTCAGAGAGAGTTTCGGCTCGGACTTTCCTGTTCTGCGTCTGCACTCCGACAGAGGTGGGGAGTTTTCCTCCGACCTTCTGCGAGCCTTCTGTCGTGCGGAGGGCATCCGCCAGACGTTCACGCTTCCGGCCTCTCCACAGCAAAATGGGATTGCTGAGCGCCGCATTGGCATGGTCATGGACGTCGCTCGTACGTCCATGATCCATGCGGCTGCTCCCCATTTTCTGTGGCCGTTCGCGGTTCAGTACGCTGCGCATCAGATCAACCTTCAGCCCCGGGTCTCCATGCTGGAGACCTCCCCTACTCTGCGGTGGACGGGGAAGGTTGGCGATGCGTCTGCGTTCCGTGTCTGGGGATCTCGAGCTTTCGTCCGCGACTTGTCTGCGGACAAGCTGTCCTCCCGTGCTGTTCCCTGTGTCTTCCTTGGCTTCCCCCCTGACGCGCCTGGTTGGCGGTTTTACCACCCCACCTCGTGCCGTGTTCTGTCCTCCCAGGACGTCACGTTTGACGAGTCGGTTCTTTACTACCGTCTCTTCCCCTACCGCGCTGCCCCCCTCCCCCCCCCACCGCTCTTTCTCGCGCCAGGTCCCCCCCCGGTAGACCCCCTCCCCCCTCAGGGTCCTGCCCCCTCAGGTGTGTCCCAGGTAGACGCAGTCGAACCTGTCGAGGTAGCTGTTGACTCTGGTGCTGCTAGGGGTGCTGAGCCTGCGGGTGCCGGGTCTGGGGGTGCTGAGCCTGCGCGTGCGGAGCCTGGGGGTGCTGAGTCTGGGGGTGCTGAGCCTGGGGGTGCTGAGCTTGGGGGTGCTGAGCCTGGGGTTGCTGAGTCTGGGGGTGCGGAGCCTGAGGGTGCTGAGCCTGCGCGTGTGGAGTCTGGAGGTGCTGAGCCTGGAGGTCCTTCGGGTGCTTCGTCCCGGCGGGAGCCACTCTCTCCACAGCAGCTGCGCGAGTGGTTTGCTCGGCGTTGGAGCCGTGCTGTTGGAGCTGGTGGTGCTGTCGACGCTGGAGGTTCTGCTGCTGCTGGGGGTGCTGGAGCCACGGGTCGCGGAGGTGCTCGTACTGGAGGTACTGGAGCTGCTGGGCCTAGTGGTGCTACTGGTGCTGGAGCTGCTGGCGGTGCTGGAGTTGGTGGTACTGCTGGAGTAGGTGCTGCTGGAGGTACTGGAGCCGGGGCTGCTACGTCTTCCGGTGGTCCTGCTGGAGCTGGAGGTGCTGCTGGAGCCGGTGCTCATGTGGGTGCTGGAGTTGGCGCTTCTGGAGCAGCTGGTGGTGCTGCTGGAGCTGGTGGCGCTGCGGGAGTCGGAGCTGCCGCTGGGGGTGCTGGTGCTGTCCCTGCTGGTTCTGGAGGTGCTGCGCGACCACGGCCGTACTTTGTTCCGCTCCTTGAGCAGGTTCTTGGTCTTCCGCCTTCTACTTGTCCTGCTCCTTCCTTAGGGTTTCCACCGCCTGTTCAGTCCGAGTCACAGTTACAGCTGGCCTCCCCACTGTCTGCTCCTTCTCCCTACACTGGTCCTACTGGAGGCCTTGCTGAGCGTCGTGAGCCTGAGTCTCGTCCTGCGTCGCCTGTTCGTGCTACTCACACTGGTCGTCGTGTTCCGCGTCAGCGTCCTCCTGCGGTCCCGGGCATGCACCGGATGGCACTGCGTCCTTCCACTGCTCCACAGCGTGTCCCTTTGCCGTCTCCTCCAGAGTCCTCTCATCGTGCTCTTGCTGACCCGGGGTCTGACTCCCTTCGTGCTGCCAGTCCTACTGTCACGCGTCTCCTGGCTACTGTTGTCACTGACCCTTCCTTTGAGACCACTGCTGCGTCTGCCTTGGCTGCTGAGCTTGTCGACTTCGCTGCTCACTGTCGTCTAGACTACGCCGCCAGTCTTGTTGCTGAGTCTGAGTCTGTCTGTCCTCCGTCCGTCGGGGGTGAGTGTTCTTAGCATGGACGTCCTTGAGGACAGGCAAGAGGAGTTCCAGTGTTTTGCTGCTGCTTTACCTCATCTCGTGTCCATGCTAGTTGCCCTTGAGGGAGATCCGGATGCACCAGACATCCCGACCCCGCGCTCTTACGCAGAGGCGATAGAGGGTCCTTACTCCTCCCAGTGGCAGTCAGCCATGGACGCAGAGATGGCTTCCTGGAAGTCCACAAGCACCTACGTCGACGAGGTTCCCCCACCTGGGGCGAACATCGTCAGTGGCATGTGGATTTTCAGGGTGAAGCGGCCGCCGGGTTCTCCGCCTGTCTTCAAGGCGCGCTACGTGGCTCGAGGCTTCAGTCAGCGGCAGGGAGTTGACTACTTTCAGACCTTCTCTCCCACCCCGAAGATGACCACTCTTCGGGTGCTGCTGCACATAGCCGCTCAGCGCGACTACGAGCTTTACTCTCTTGACTTCAGCACTGCTTTCCTACAGGGCAGCCTGCACGAGGAGATCTGGCTGCGCCGCCCACCTGGCTTCACTGGGTCGTTTCCTCCTGGTACCCAGTGGAGCCTCCGGCGGCCAGTCTACGGTCTCCGCCAGGCGCCCCGTGAGTGGCACGACACACTGAGGACTACTCTTGCGGCTCTTGGGTTTGCTCCTTCCACTGCTGACCCGTCGCTGTTTCTACGCAGCGAAACCTCTTTGCCGCCGTTCTACATCCTCGTGTACGTCGACGACTTGGTCTTTGCCACCGCTGACACTGCTGGACTCGCCCACGTGAAGTCTGAGCTGCAGAAGAGACACACGTGCACAGACCTGGGTGAACTGCGCAGCTATCTTGGCTTGCAGGTCACCCGGGACAGAGCACGGTGCACCATTACCTTGACTCAGTCACACATGGTGCAGCAGGTCCTTCAGCGCTTCGGCTTCACGTACTCCTCGCCTCAGGCCACTCCTCTTTCTACTCGCTACTCGCTCTCAGCTCTGCCTTCGGATGAGTCCGTAGTGCCGAGTGGCCCGTATCCAGAGCTTGTTGGCTGCCTCATGTACCTGATGACCTGCACTCGACCTGACCTGGCATACCCTCTTAGCATCTTGACACGCTATGTTGCTCCTGGGAGACACCGACCAGTGTCGAAGTATATGCCTGTTATATATGTGTAGGCTTTAATGGGAATGCGCCATGTGGCACCAATCACATCGCTCCTACAGAGGCCGTCATACCAGAACGTGAGCACCGAGCCAAACCGTTCCTGAGCGATGAAAACGGCAACACGGGAGAGCGGGCGGCAGAGGAGAGTCGACTTCTAGGTGCAAGTGCGAATGAGCAGACTAAACCGGAACAATTAAGTGCGAAACCGCGAGTACCATGCCAGTGATTTCCGGATGGATCCAATCCGTGTCAATCCAACGGCTCACCTGCAGGTGTGTGAGCAGCAGAGCCGTCGGATTGAAGCCAATGAGCAGCGGAGGGCCGGCAGAGGCGAGGCGATGGAGAGAAGGAGGGAGGGCGGTTGAGGGGGGAGAGGATGAGTAGGAGGTGGAATCTGTTGGAGAGAGGGACGAGGGTACTTGCAACCAGCCTGCACGCAGACAGATAGCAGACGATGGGCATGGCACATGACACATATCAGATATGCAATAGACACAGAAGAGAAGAGAGATGCTTGAGTCGGCTGTGGTGTGGTCTGCTTGAGGGCAAGACAACCAGGCATAGTGTGAGGTGAGAGTCCATGAGCTTTGTGGTGTGAGGTGAGTCTGTGACCAGCATTGTGTTTGCCTACACGAGCTTATTGAGAAATAGCACCTTGGGACTGCACATGTGTCACACCTTTGGAAGGGGAATGTTGCTGTGGTGGGAGAGTTGAGAGATGGGGGATGGTAGAAAGCGAGCTCACCCTTGGCGGTGCTCAGAGCCTTGGGGGTCGGGAAGAGCACGCGGTGGTGGTGGGGGAGGGACGCAGGGTCCAGGTGAATGACGAGGTCGAATGTCGTGGAGAGCGGTGAGAGGAAGAGCGACTGCAGCCGGGAGGGAGGGGCAAGGGAAGAAGGAGAAGTTTGCACGTGGGAGATGGTTCGAGAGAGGGGAGGGTAGGCGAGACGGGGTTCCATGTTGGAATGAGAGAAATGAGAGGAATGAGAGGAATGAGAGGAATGAGAGGGGGTGTGGGAGAAGAAAACAGCTGATCCAGCAAGGCAAGGCAGTGGTGAAAGACAAATTTCCTTCCTAGGGAGGACAGAGGGGGGGTGGGGGATTGGAAAGAGGGGACGTTTGCAAGAATGTGCAACACAGCTCTGTGTTACCTGCCTGAGCGGCCCAAAAAACCCACCTTCCACTGCACCGCCCTGTGCTTTTCATTGCCTCTCTCCTTCCCCTTGCCCACTCCCTTTCTTCCTCCCTCCTCCCCACCTCCCCCTTCCTCCCCCTCCCCTGTGATCAGCTGTGCCAGCACTTGCGCTGCACTTTCGGCAAAGGCACACAGACGCTCCAGAGCCTGAGGGAAAGGGATAGAGGAGCACACGAGACGCACAAGGGCACAGAGGGAGGGGGGAGGGAAAGTGTGGGTATAGGGAGGGAGGGAGCATGGGAAGGAAGAGGGGGGAAGGGAGGGAGTGTGGGATAGGGGTGGGTAGAAATTCACAAGAAATTCAAAGGCTTCCTCCTGCCATCACAGTGGGGGATGGTACAATGTGGTGTGGTGTGGTGTGGTATGGTGTGGTGTGGTGTGGTCTAAGGTGGGTAAGTCATGAGAAGGCATTCCTCCTGCCATCACCACGGACACTGAAGGCCATAGAAACTAAAAAACCCGTTCTTTTGAGTTGAGAATGTTTAGAACCAAAATTGCACAGCAATCAGTAACCAGAAAACGAGGGAATATTGCCATGTCACCTCAACGGACGGTCCGAGATGCGTCCACATGGCGCCGTCGCGATCGTACGGCGTGGAGATGCACATGGCGGGGCGCCGCTCCTTCTCCCCCTCGCCCTCCCTGCCCCCCTCCGTCACGCTCTGCTTGAGCCGCTTCGCCACGCTGCGTGCTGAGCTGCCCAGCGTGTCCTTGTGGGGTGGCAGGCGCTCATCGAAACGAGCCTAGTGGGGGAACACGATGGGTTTGGGGGGGGGAAGAATGGGGGTAAGAGGGTGAAGAGGCGACTCGCCCTCCCTCCCCCCTTCCGCCGTGCTCTGCTTGAGTTGCTTCGCCACGCTGCGTGCTGAGCTGCCCAGGGTTTCCCTTTGAGGAGGCAGGCGGGCATCGAAACGAGCCTGGTGGGGAGGGATGGTTGGTGGGGTAGAGATGGAAGGTAAAGAGATGATTCATGCCTCGCTTCCCAGGGTATACGCGTGGGGCCGTAGGCGCGCGTCAAAACGGGCGTGGCAGGGGAAGGGAAGGGGCAAAGGGGGAAGGAACGGGAGGAGAATGAGGAGAAGAAGAAGAGGGTGGGGCGATTCACCCCCAGCTGGCCAAGGCGTCGTGATGGCGTGGAGAGTAAGAGACAGAATGAAGCTTTGTGGGGTGGGAAGCAGGTGATGAAGACAAGGGTCAAGGGGGTGACGACAAGGGTCAACGGGGTGACGAGAAGGGTCAAGGGGGTGACGTGAAGGGGATGACATGTTCGACATCAGCAAAGCATTTGTGCTGAGGGCCAGCAGTGCTCAACAAGTGCCTCACACGTGCAGAATGACTGTTCCTCTTGCTCGCATCTGGATTTTCACCTGAATCTGCTGCACGTTTTCAGGAGAGAAAGCACTGTTCACGTCCACTATGAGCGGCTGCGACAGCCAATCGTACGACGCCACGAGGCGGAAGAACCTGCCACGCGTGCGGTGGAATTGGGAGAAGGGGGAAATGACCAGATGGCATGGCAGTAGGGATAATGGTGTTGGTAACATCGTCAATGGTTGTGGAAAGCACAGAGCTGACGTCAGCGTGATCTTATGGCGATGTTGCGATGGAAGGAAAAGGGTTGGGATGGCAGCAGCTGTAAAAAAATGATGACACAACACAAAAGACAAAGCAAGATGTGGGGATGAGCGAGAAGGTAAGAGGGGGGAGTTAGGCAGACAACAAAGCATCAGCTTCTCTAGCGTGGCTACTATTGTTCCCTCGCTGCTGCCCTTCATCCCTCGCTGCTGCCCTTCATCCCTCGCTGCTGCCCTTCATCCAACGCAACTACCGCTGATGCTTTCACCTGACCTGCTCTTTCACAGCGCAAAAGTTCTGTTTCACCTGAGCGCACATCTGATCTGATGTTTCACCTGAGGAGGCCAGCAAGTCGTGACTTGGGGGCGGGCAGCAGCAGGGGGTTGGGAGCGGTGAGGGTGTGCGCCACCAGCAGCTCCACCGCCTCCTCCTTGAGGTGCGATGAGAAGAGATGCGCTGCCACCCACCGCTTGGCTAGCCTGGTGTGAGTGGGAGGGAGACGGAGGAGAGGGAGGAGAGGCAGGAGAGGGAAGTGAGTGGGAGCAACGAGGGAGTGCGCAACTAGCAGCTCCACCGCTTCCCCGTTGAGGTGCGATGAGCAGAGATGGGCCGCCAGCCACCGCTTGGCTAGCCTGTTTGAGAGAGAGGAGGGAAGGAGCGGGAGGGGAGGGCAGGGCGAGGTAGAGGAAAGAAGGGAGTTGGGGGTAACGAGGGTGTGCGCCAGCAGCAGCTCCACCGCTTGCTCCTTGTCGTGCGATGAAGAGATGCGCTGCCACCCACCGCTTGGCTAGCCTGGAGCGATAGGAGTGAGGAGAGCGAGAGGGAAGACAGGGAAGGGAGTGGAAGTGATGACGACCTGATGGGACAGATGGCATGGCACCTGCTACTTGGCTAACTTGGGGTGAGAGAGAGATGAGGCAGGGAGCTTATCCTATTGTCAACAGTGCTGCGTATCAAAGTGCCGCGTCATCACAGTGGTGCACCATCACAGTGCTGCACCATCACAGTGCTGCACCATCACAGTGCTGCACCATCACAGTGCTGCGACACGAGTGGCACAAACAAACTATCACCTCTCGCCTGTCCCTTTGCAATCGAGGCAGAGGTGGAGTGGTGGTTGGTGAGCCCGTTGAGCGTGCTGTGCTGTGGTGCCATTGCCATCAGCATCACAGCCATATCGTATCAGCACCACCTTCACCATCACTGCTATCACCTCTGTCTAGGGTATCACCTGGCGATGGGGTGGCGGCCGGTGAGCCTGTTGAGCGTGCTGTGGTGCTGCAGGCTGCAGTGCCATCGCCACGACCACCAGCAGCACTACCATGAGCATCACATGCAACACAACCATACCTGGCAATAGGGCCAAACGTGGGGTGGCGGCCGGTGAGACCACTGAGAGTGCTGTGGTGCTGCAGCGTGCGGTGCGTCTCGGAGAAGGCGGAGGGGGATGCAGGGAGGGCGGCGAGGGGCGAGGGCGTGGTGAGGGGAGTGAGGGAGGACGAGGGGGTCGTGGAGGTGACGTCCTCGGCTGGTGGGACTGGCGGGGTGGACAGAAGGTGTTAAGAGGGAAGATAATGAGGAGACTAGCTGATGAGAGGGAGAGTGCGGAGCCAATCCTTTCCTAGTGCATGTGTATGTGATGCAAGGACAGATGACCATTGTTAACAGGGCCTACTACCCTGTGTATGTCACTGGTAACTCGTAAAGCACAACTGGATGACTGTGCCATGCATGTGAGTCAGCCCACCATAGTCATGCACCATGCCATGCCATGGCATGTCAGCCCACAAAACCATAGTCATCCATCCCACCATAGTCATGATGCATACCATGTAACCATGCCATGGCATCCCACCATAGTCATGCATACCATGCCACGTCAGCCCACCATAGTCATGCATACCATGCCATGCCATGCCACCATACCATAGTCATGCAGCAGCACGAGGCGGAAGGCAAAGCCATCAACCATCACATCCACGGCGCCCCGTGCTGCCTCCACTGCCACACCGTGTGCCTCCTGCAGACTAGATTGGGGTGAGAGGGTTGAACGGGAGGTGCGAGGGGGTTGAGGGATGGAGGATGGGGTGGTAAGGGGCGGAAGGCGAAGCCATGTAGCATCACATCCACGGCGCCCCATGCTGCCTGCCTCCACCTCCACCCCGTGTGCTCCCCTCAGGCTGCCATGCGCAGCGAAGGGTGAACGGAAGGAACGGAGTGTGGGAGGTATTGGAATGTGGGCGGGGAAATGGCGGAAGGCAACGCCTCCGAGCATCACATTGGCAGCACCCCTTGCTGCCTCCGGTGCAACCTGTGTGAGGAATGAGGGTTTAGGAGCAAGGAGTCGGGGAAGGCGATCAGCAAGGTGAGGAACAAGGTCAGGGGCAAGGGGCATGGGGAAGACACACGAGGCACGACACAACCTTAGTTGGCTGTCACGTTTGCAGCAAATTCGTTCAAGGACTTTTTTGCCTGAAATATTATTCCCAGACCTGCATGAACATATGCTATGCAAATGTTTACCTTTCGCCTAACTTTACAAACACATGGGGCCCTAGGACGAACAGACCCATCTAAGGCCACAACCACCATCGATACATCTCACGGCCTCCAGCGGGCTCATCTGCAGACAGCTCAACCGATCCACCACATGCCACCCAACCTAACCACATGCCACCCAACTCCACCACATGCCACCCAACCTAACCACATGCCACCCAACTCCACCACATGCCACCCAACCTAACCACATGCCACCCAACTCCACCACATGCCACCCAACCTAACCACATGCCACCCAACTCCACCACATGCCACCCAACCTCACCACATGCTACCCAACCTCACCACATGCCACCCAACCTCACCACATGCCACCCAACCCCATCACATGCCACCCAACCCCATCACATGCCACCCAACCCCATCACATGCCAGTCCTTCCAGGCGGCCCCACCTGCTGGCGATCTGCAGGCAGAAGGCGTGGCGTGTGAGGCGCAGCGCCTCGGGATCATCGGGCCACTTGCTTGACGCCTCCAGCTGCATGGGAGGGAGGGGAGGGGAGGGCGGAGGGGTAGGAAGGATGGGGAGGGCAGAGGGAGAGCGGAGGAAAGAAGGAGAGAAAGGCGGAGGGAGAGGGCGGAGGGCGGAGTGGGAGGGCAGAGGGCGGAGGGCAGAGGAAGCAGTGTGGATAGTCACATGCGGAACAGAAGTGGAAGCTTCTTCAGCGGACCTACGGATCACTGCGGAACGCGCCAACTGGCTGAAGAAATAGGTGAGCAGAAGGAAGGGATGAAGGGCAGTGCTGGTGGAAGCAGAGGTAAAATAGTATTGGAGTATCCACAGCAGCGTTACATGCCCGCCCCTGCCCCACTACTCCTCCACCCCATGAAGCGTCCTCTGTGCCTGTCATACAGACTTGTCCTTCCCTCTTCCCACCCCCCTCTCCTCCCCTGTCCATCCACAGTCATAGCGGTCCCCACAGAAACGCTGCACGCCCTCCTACCCTTCTGCCGTTCCCTTCCCGCCTCACTCGTTCTCACCTGCACGGCCACTGGCACCGGGTCCACACATCGCTGCCACACGCCCTCCCCACCTGCTGTGCCTGCTGGCCCCCCTGCAGAGGAAGGTGGGCACGGCGACGGGGGGAATGCCGCTGCTCCCCTTGTGGCTGGCGTGGGAGGAGAGTCGGATGGGCGGAGGGGGAAAGAGAAAGAGCGGGAGGACAGCAATAAAGAGCATTGAGGGACGAGGGCTTGGGTCAAGAGCCTGCGCAAAGGCATGAAAAGGCATGGCAATTTTGCCATGGAATGGAATGATGCTCCAGAGTTCACAGAAACACAACCCTGCATTTTTATGGCACACATAGCACAGACAAGCACAGCTCTCCTGCTGCTACGAGAAAGGCAGAGGCAGAATTGATTCGATTTGAACCACACTGTAGTGAGTGGCAGCGGCACTTGCAACCCAAGAATGGGAGAGTGGCTTCAGGGGTGGGAGGCTGCAGGAAAGGGGAACCTGATTAGTGCAGGATGGAAAGCGTGGGAGCATGGATGGGTGGATGTTCGTGGAAAACATGTTCGTGGCAAACATGTTCGTGGCAAACATGTTCGTGGCAAACATGTTCGTGGCAAACATGTTCGTGGCAAACATGTTCGTGGCAAACATGTTCGTGGCAAACATGTTCGTGCTCTCCCCGTGACAGCACTCTTTATAGTCACACGTTTGTGGATTGTGGATTGTTGACATTTTTTAGGAGGCTGTAAGGTCCAAATCGAGTAAAACTCAAATTGTGGCAACATTTCCTCCCCCATCCCCCAAGCCAGTCCCGCTCTGCTTCATCCATGCTAGTGCCAGGACGTGCGTGTAAATGACGGCGAAATGCCAGATCTGCGTGTTAATGACGGCGAAACGTCAAATCCGAACGTAACTGATGGCGAAACCCTAGATCCGCTCAGATCTGACGAGAAATGCCCGCGAAGTCCAGCTGCCCTGCAGCCACCCGCACATGCCCTCGTCCACCCCCAGGTGGCGCTTTTGAATCGACTCACGAATCACATGCTCACCTCCACTCCTTCCTTTCCATCCCTTCCCTCCAACTACTCACCCTTGCCTGACACCTGAAGGGCGAAGTCCAGCTGCCCTGCTGCCACCCGCACGGCGCCCTCGTCCACCCCCAGGTGGCGCTGCAGGGCAAAGCTGATGAGGCGTGACGGGATGAGATGGCGCTCCGTGGGAGGAGCTTCCCATGCTGCAGTAGGGGAACAGGAGGGAAGCGGGGTGTGGGGTGGCGGAGAGGGAGGGTAAGGAGATGAGATGCAAGCGGGAGAGCACCAGCGTGCCTTGTCCACCCCCAGGTGGCGTTGCAGGAGGAATCTGATGAGTCGTGCTGGGGTGAGGTGGTGCTCCGTGGGGGTGGCTTCTGATGCTGCAGGGGGGGAGACAGAGGGAAGAAGGCTGGGTGTGGCGGAGAGGGAGGGTCAGATGATGCCACGGAGAGCGGAAGGTGTAGTGGCACCCTCTTCCAGCCTCAGGAAGGTGTAGTGGCACCCTCTTCCAGCCTCAGGAAGGTGTAGTGGCACCCTCTTCCAGCCTCAGGAAGGTGTAGTGGCACCCTCTTCCAGCCTCAGGAAGGTGTAGTGGCACCCTCTTCCAGCCTCAGGAAGGTGTAGTGGCACCCTCTTCCAGCCTCAGGAAGGTGTAGTGGCACCCTCTTCCAGCCTCAGGAAGGTGTAGTGGCACCCTCTTCCAGCCTCAGGAAGGTGTAGTGGCACCCTCTTCCAGCCTCAGGAAGGTGTAGTGGCACCCTCTTCCAGCCTCAGGAAGGTGTAGTGGCACCCTCTTCCAGCCTCAGGAAGGTGTAGTGGCACCCTCTTCCAGCCTCAGGAAGGTGTAGTGGCACCCTCTTCCAGCCTCAGGTAGTGAGGAGACATGGTGTGATGTGATGAGATGAGATGAGATGGCGGTGAGATGAGATGAGATGGCGCTGAGTGTGGGATCCATGAGGGCACGACATGAGACATGACAGCCATCCTCACTGCACCCCCTTTCGCCTCACAACACCCCACTCAGCCGCCCTACACTCCCCCACACCCCTCTCCACCGCACAGCACACACGCACCAACGGCCTCGGTGATGGTGCCATCCTTCCAGCGCCTCAGCTCCGCCTTGGGGCCCCAGAAGGTGCGGAACTTGAGCGCCTGGAAGACGAGGGGGGGGGGGGGGGGAGTGGGGAGAGGGGAGGGGGGAGGGTTGAGTGGGGAGGGGGAAAGGGGGAGGGTCGAGTGGGGAGGGGGAAAGGGGGATGGTTGAGTGGGGAAGTGGGAGGGGGAACTCGAGGGAGGGGAGAAGGGGGGTTTAGGGTGGCATTTGTGGGGACCTAAGTACAGCAAGTGTTTGGTCTTAGGCACATTTGTGTTATTTGTGACACTTCGTGACCTCTAAATGAATCTTGACTTTTGATTTGATTATAAATCTGTGAAAAGACCGATTTTGGTTGTCTCCTTGTGTGCATATAGCCAAAGCATCAGCAGGTGGCTCTACCTAACATTGGCGCAGCAGAAGGGCTGCCCAGACACGTCTGCTGATGCATTGGCTGACAGCAAGAGAACCAAAAACTGACTTTTTATAGATTCAGAGGCACCTCAAAAGTCACTCAGTATCACTTATTTCATGGGTGCTTGGGGAAAGAAGGGGAAAGCATTGGCTGCGGACGCGGGTGAGGAAGCTGAGAGAGCATTTCTAGAACACGATTAGAGACTAGTTAGAGAAATCACACCAGCTGCACCACATGTGCCTACCAGGTGCAGGCCCAGCCAACGACCCCTGCCTGCATGGCACTCACCTCCGCCTTGTTGTCCGCGCTGGGCCCCTTGTCCACGAGGCGCAGAGCCGTGTCAGGCGACGCCAGTGACACTCCGATCAGCACCGGCGCACCACCCAGTGCTGGCAGGCCCTGTGGTGGGAGGGAGGTGGGGGGACGTTGAGGAAACGCTTGAGCACAACACAGCTTGAGACGGGAAGGTGAGATAGCAATGAGGACTTGCTTGCTTTGAGGAAATGCGATGATGAGCGTGGGGGTGTTATATGTTTGGCATGGGATGCGGGGGATGAGAGAAGGTGAAGGGTTGCACGGCATATGTCCAAAAGCACAGTGCAGGGGAGTGCCCTGCGCTGCCGTGCCGTGCCCTGTGCTGCCGTGCCGTGTGGTGGCGCTGGGAGAGTAGTGGAAAGCTAACCATCCCCAAAACTAATCAAACTCCGGATAAACCTTCCAGCCAGCTGCATCCTGCACCGCACTAGACATGAGCAAATGGGCGAACATGTCTACACCGCACACACCTGTGGAAAAAGTGTTCGACTCGGGCCGAACATGTTCGGTTCAAGTTGGAGAAGTGTTCGAAAGGGTTCGACTCAGACCCGTTTGAGTTGGCCCGTTGCTCATGTCAATACCACACGCACCCTGCTCCAGACGCCAGCCAGAAGGCACCTCCCTGGGGTGCACCCGCACAGCCGTGGCCCTCTCCCCCATGCCCCTCTCCACCACGCCCCCTGCTGCCCCCTCCCTGCGCCGGTGAGGCGGCTCGTCCAGCAGCAGCGCTGCCTTGGGCGTGGCGGATGCGGTGTCATGCACTCTGGGGTGGTGTGGGGTGGGGTGGGATGGGGTGGGATGGGATGGGATGGGATGGGATGGGATAGGATGGGATGGGGAAGCAAGGGCACGGCAGGGAAGGGAGGAAGGGTGAGGTGAGACGTAGGGCAGGGGCGGCTCGTCCAGCAGCAGTGCTGCCTTGGGTGTGGCGGGCGGGGTGTCGTGCACACTGGGGTGGGATTGGATGGGGTGGGATGGGATGGGATGGGATTGAATGTGAAGCGGGAGCACAGGGAAGAGGAGAAGAAGGGAGGGGAGGGAGGGTTGGGAATCTAAGCATGGCATGCCATATGGTGTGCCATAGTAGCATGCACGATGGGGGAGAGGGGGTTGCAATTGCAACAACAACGCAGGCAAATGAAAGAGTGAAAGAGGAGGAAGAATGGGTGGAGGTGCGTGATGACGAAATGACCCGCACCACACCACACCACACTGCACTGAACCTCCCACATGCAGATAAGAACGAGATCTCACGTGGCAATCAAATCAAATCGGTCGGGCAAGCCACATGGCTGCATGAAGGCGAGCAGCACTGCTTGCCCCGGCAGGCATGCCACGGGTGCTCCCCCCGACTTGATCACACTGTACGTGTGCTGCGCGTCCAGACGAATCTGATGGGGAAGGGGGGGAGGTGGGAGGGGAGAGAAGGGCACGATCAAAGGTGTGGGCATTGACTGAACAACTTGCTACTCCCCCACCCACCCTCCGACTTGATCACACTGTATGTGTGCTGTGCGTCCAGACGAATCTGATGGGGGTGAAAGGATGCAAGGGAGGCAAGGGGCGGATGAGGCATAGACCTGTGAACTACTCGTCATGCAAACACCCTCCACCCCCCCTGACTTGATCACACTGTACGTGTGCTGCGCGTCCAGACGAATCTGATGAGAAGGACGGAGGACGAATGGGAGGAGAGGGGTGCATTTTCTTGTGTTATAATATTTGGTTTGACCTTAGACGCACTGTACGTGTACTGTGCGTCCAGAGGAGTCTGAGAATGACGGAGGGAGGACAAAGGGGAAGGGTGGGAGGGACCTCAGGCATCAAATAGTCATAAAGACAATCATATTGATTGTTCGATACATAGGGTTTTGTAGCATAAGGAGATAACTGCATGAATGTACGTTGTGTTAGGCATGTTTGGTTGGCCCAGGCGTGCCTCACTGATTGCGAGCATGTTCTGCCCTTTCCCACTGCCACGAGAGCGCACCTGGAAAAGGAGGGCATACCTGGTGGAGGAAGGGCGCACCTGGTGGAGGAAGGGCGCACCTGGTGGAGGAAGGGCGCACCTGGTGGAGGAAGGGCGCACCTGGTGGAGGAAGGGCGCACCTGGTGGAGGAAGGGCGCACCTGGTGGAGGAAGGGCGCACCTGGTGGAGGAAGGGCGCACCTGGTGGAGGAAGGGCGCACCTGGTGGAGGAAGGGCGCACCTGGTGGAGGAAGGGCGCACCTGGTGGAGGAAGGGCGCACCTGGTGGAGGAAGGGCGCACCTGGTGGAGGAAGGGCGCACCTGGTGGAGGAAGGGCGCACCTGGTGGAGGAAGGGCGCACCTGGTGGAGGAAGGGCGCACCTGGTGGAGGAAGGGCGCACCTGGTGGAGGAAGGGCGCACCTGGTGGAGGAAGGGCGCACCTGGTGGAGGAAGGGCGCACCTGGTGGAGGAAGGGCGCACCTGGTGGAGGAAGGGCGCACCTGGTGGGGGAAGGGCGCACCTGGTGGAGGAAGGGCGCACCTGGTGGGGAAGGGCGCACCTGGTGGAGGAAGGGCGCACCTGGTGGAGGAAGGGCGCACCTGGTGGAGGAAGGGCGCACCTGGTGGAGGAAGGGCGCACCTGGTGGAGGAAGGGCGCACCTGGTGGAGGAAGGGCGCACCTGGTGGAGGAAGGGCGCACCTGGTGGAGGAAGGGCGCACCTGGTGGAGGAAGGGCGCACCTGGTGGAGGAAGGGCGCACCTGGTGGAGGAAGGGCGCACCTGGTGGAGGAAGGGCGCACCTGGTGGAGGAAGGGCGCACCTGGTGGAGGAAGGGCGCACCTGGTGGAGGAAGGGCGCACCTGGTGGAGGAAGGGCGCACCTGGTGGAGGAAGGGCGCACCTGGTGGAGGAAGGGCGCACCTGGTGGAGGAAGGGCGCACCTGGTGGAGGAAGGGCGCACCTGGTGGAGGAAGGGCGCACCTGGTGGAGGAAGGGCGCACCTGGTGGGGAAGGGCGCACCTGGTGGAGGAAGGGCGCACCTGGTGGGGGAAGGGCGCACCTGGTGGAGGAAGGGCGCACCTGGTGGAGGAAGGGCGCACCTGGTGGGGGAAGGGCGCACCTGGTGGAGGAAGGGCGCACCTGGTGGAGGAAGGGCGCACCTGGTGGAGGAAGGGCGCACCTGGTGGGGGAAGGGCGCACCTGGTGGAGGAAGGGCGCACCTGGTGGAGGAAGGGCGCACCTGGTGGAGGAAGGGCGCACCTGGTGGAGGAAGGGCGCACCTGGTGGAGGAAGGGCGCACCTGGTGGAGGAAGGGCGCACCTGGTGGAGGAAGGGCGCACCTGGTGGAGGAAGGGCGCACCTGGTGGAGGAAGGGCGCACCTGGTGGAGGAAGGGCGCACCTGGTGGAGGAAGGGCGCACCTGGTGGAGGAAGGGCGCACCTGGTGGAGGAAGGGCGCACCTGGTGGAGGAAGGGCGCACCTGGTGGAGGAAGGGCGCACCTGGTGGAGGAAGGGCGCACCTGGTGGAGGAAGGGCGCACCTGGTGGAGGAAGGGCGCACCTGGTGGAGGAAGGGCGCACCTGGTGGAGGAAGGGCGCACCTGGTGGAGGAAGGGCGCACCTGGTGGGGAAGGGCGCACCTGGTGGAGGAAGGGCGCACCTGGTGGGGGAAGGGCGCACCTGGTGGAGGAAGGGCGCACCTGGTGGAGGAAGGGCGCACCTGGTGGAGGAAGGGCGCACCTGGTGGGGGAAGGGCGCACCTGGTGGAGGAAGGGCGCACCTGGTGGAGGAAGGGCGCACCTGGTGGAGGAAGGGCGCACCTGGTGGAGGAAGGGCGCACCTGGTGGAGGAAGGGCGCACCTGGTGGAGGAAGGGCGCACCTGGTGGAGGAAGGGCGCACCTGGTGGGGGAAGGGCGCACCTGGTGGAGGAAGGGCGCACCTGGTGGGGGAAGGGCGCACCTGGTGGAGGAAGGGCGCACCTGGTGGAGGAAGGGCGCACCTGGTGGGGGAAGGGCGCACCTGGTGGAGGAAGGGCGCACCTGGTGGAGGAAGGGCGCACCTGGTGGAGGAAGGGCGCACCTGGTGGGGGAAGGGCGCACCTGGTGGAGGAAGGGCGCACCTGGTGGAGGAAGGGCGCACCTGGTGGAGGAAGGGCGCACCTGGTGGAGGAAGGGCGCACCTGGTGGAGGAAGGGCGCACCTGGTGGAGGAAGGGCGCACCTGGTGGAGGAAGGGCGCACCTGGTGGAGGAAGGGCGCACCTGGTGGAGGAAGGGCGCACCTGGTGGAGGAAGGGCGCACCTGGTGGAGGAAGGGCGCACCTGGTGGAGGAAGGGCGCACCTGGTGGAGGAAGGGCGCACCTGGTGGAGGAAGGGCGCACCTGGTGGAGGAAGGGCGCACCTGGTGGGGGAAGGGCGCACCTGGTGGAGGAAGGGCGCACCTGGTGGGGGAAGGGCGCACCTGGTGGAGGAAGGGCGCACCTGGTGGAGGAAGGGCGCACCTGGTGGGGGAAGGGCGCACCTGGTGGAGGAAGGGCGCACCTGGTGGAGGAAGGGCGCACCTGGTGGAGGAAGGGCGCACCTGGTGGGGGAAGGGCGCACCTGGTGGAGGAAGGGCGCACCTGGTGGAGGAAGGGCGCACCTGGTGGAGGAAGGGCGCACCTGGTGGAGGAAGGGCGCACCTGGTGGAGGAAGGGCGCACCTGGTGGAGGAAGGGCGCACCTGGTGGGGGAAGGGCGCACCTGGTGGAGGAAGGGCGCACCTGGTGGAGGAAGGGCGCACCTGGTGGAGGAAGGGCGCACCTGGTGGAGGAAGGGCGCACCTGGTGGAGGAAGGGCGCACCTGGTGGAGGAAGGGCGCACCTGGTGGAGGAAGGGCGCACCTGGTGGAGGAAGGGCGCACCTGGTGGAGGAAGGGCGCACCTGGTGGAGGAAGGGCGCACCTGGTGGAGGAAGGGCGCACCTGGTGGAGGAAGGGCGCACCTGGTGGAGGAAGGGCGCACCTGGTGGGGGAAGGGCGCACCTGGTGGAGGAAGGGCGCACCTGGTGGGGGAAGGGCGCACCTGGTGGAGGGCGGACTTGGAAATTCTGGAGGCGAAGTTGACGGTCCCTGAGGGGTCGCAGAACAGCCAGTCGAACGCCCTCTGCATGTCCCTGCGCGCCAGGTGGGTGGTGGTAATGGCATATGGAGATTTATGAGAGATTAAATGGGAATCTGAGGGAATCGGAGGAAACAACAGGGAACGGGAAAAGAGGAAACAAGAGAGAGGAAGAGGGAACGGGAAAATGAAAACAGAACAGAAGAGAGAAAGGTTACAGAGCACACAATTACTTGTCCTGCCCTTGAAGGGCTAAGATGGGAATGAAGTGTGATGAACGAAGAAGTGAGAGAGGAAGGGGAATACGACGAGGAAGCGGGGGGGGCACCTGAGCGTTGGCCTGGAGCACGTTGGGAGAGCCATCAGGGGCGACGAGGAAGAGAGGCTGCTGGAGGAGATCCGAGTTGCCTGCATGCACATGTGGAGGGTAGAGGGGGCATGGATGATTATGGGGCATGGATGGGGCATGGATGCATGGTAGCGTGGTGGGGTGAGGTATGGTGAGACGAGCGCATGGGCATGGCAAAGGCACAAGACACATGCGAACAATGTGTTTAAGATAGCATCATGCCACACACATCAATACCCATGGCATCCATGCCGCATACCCGTAGCATCCATATCCCACACGTGATGTACGTACCCATGGCATCGATGGCACATCGGAAGATCTGGAATGCTGACATGGCGGGCATGACGCGGCGGTGGGGGTTGTGGGGCGACGCCAGGTGTGCTGCCAACAGGGACAGCTGGAAGCCGTTCAGCCAATCAGCAGGCGCCACGTGGCGCTTGGTGCTGTACCGCTGGCGAGCCCAGACCTGAGGGGTGATGGGCATGCGAGACGTGACATGACAGGTGGCCGGGGGATGGACAGAATGAGAGCAGGGAGGGAGGGAATGTGAGGAGACAAACGCTGTTATGCTGGCATGACAGGCTGTATCATCACACATGCATGCATAAATGATTGCAGGGAGCACATCACACATGCATGGAGCATGGTAAATTGGATTGGCTTTGCTGCACTTATAACATGGCAGGTGGCATGCATGCATGCACAGCGAGGGATGAAACCATGAATGAGCTGGGATCCAAGAAACCAGTGGGTTGACAGCGTGGCAGCATGGATGGGGGACAGGAAAGTGTGGGAAGAAGCATGCCATGTGTGTCGTATTGTCATGTCTTTCATGGATGAGAGTGGAGCACGCATGAAAGACAATCCCATGAATGCATCAACTGCTCCCTACAGCCCACTTCCATTCCAAACCCTCCATGTCATGTATGTGCACCATCCATTCTAGACATTGATTGAACAACTTCGCCTCGTCACAGTCAGTCTCGTCGCGTAGAGCAGCACGAGTGCATGAGGCAGGGCACGCACGAGCCCCATGGCATGCAACACGGGGTGATGTGCGGCCATGCCATTCCATGTGAGCAGAGGAGAGGGGTATGCACAGGAGAGGGGTATGCATGCACACCAGCGTGGCATGTGCTATGCATGAGCATCCTCCACGAGGGGGTGGGAGGAAGGGCAGGCACGAGCCGTACAAAGGCAATCCATTTACGATCCAATGAATCACCTTGAGCAGCACGAGAGCATGGGGCAGGGCGGGCACGAGCACCATGGCATGCGAAACGAGACCATGGGCGGTCGTGTGAGCGCCATCCCCCAGCACGCCCATCTTGCACTGCGGTGTTGCCAGTAGCTCGCCTCCTGTCATTCAATGTGTGGCGGGGCAGGAGGGAAGGGGCGCATGGGAAGGGGCGCATGGGAAGGGGCGCATGGGAAGGGGCGCATGGGAAGGGGCGCATGGGAAGGGGCGCATGGGAAGGGGCGCATGGGAAGGGGCGCATGGGAAGGGGCGCATGGGGTTGGGGCCGGCCGCGTGAGCGCCATCCCCCAGCACGCCCATCTTGCACTGCGGGGTTGCTAGGAGCTCGCCTCTTGTTGTGTCATGTGTGGGCGGGGCGGGAGGGAAGCGACAGATGGGAAGTAAGGTGTATAGGGTTGTGCCTTTGTGCACACATGCATGTGCATGCAAGAATCGATGACATGTGACTAGCGTGCGGAGGCGGCTTGGCAGACCCACCTGAGGAGGCTGCATGGCGCACGTTGTTGCGTGCGGGGGCGAGCTTGCGCGCGGGGAAGGTGACGGGGGACAAGCAGGGCAGCAGACGCAGCGGCCAGCTCTTGCACGCCCCTGTGAGGGGGAGGAGGAGAGGGGGAGGGGAGGGTGATTGGGGGAGCGGAGGAGTGGAGGGGAGGGTGTTTGGGGCGCATGAGATTGGCATGGCATGCTGCACGGAACATCTCTCTCAGTATGGTATGTTATGTTATGGCATGGTATGGAATCACACAGAGCTACATGGTACAACATGGCAAGGCATGGCACGGCAGGCACGGCACGGCACGGCACGGCACGGCACGGCACGGCACAGCAGGGCATGGCACAGCACGGCACGGCAGGGCATGGCATGGCATGATCAGCTCACTCACGGGGGATGACAAGGAGGATGGGCTTGCACACGTCATCCCTCAGAGTGCTCCACTCCACCGCCGCCACCCAATCACACGCCGCCAGGTGGCGCGCCAGCGTGGCGAGGTACAGCGCCCGCCTGGCGAAGTAGCGGTGGTTCAGCACGTCCTTTTCCCGGAAACACGCCTGCAGACAAGAGAGGGGTGGGCGGATGGGAGATTGAGAGGAGTGTGTGGGAGGACGCAGCTTTGTGCTACAGAAGGGGGGATGGGGTGACGATGACTGAGGAGTGTGTGAGGTGACGCAGCACAGTGCATGCGTGCATGTGACATGACGGGGAAAGTAGTGGCGGTTCAGCACGTACTTGCCACTCACGCACCCCTTGCACACAGAGAGGGGAGGCAGTGTGAAGTGAAGAATGGGGAGAGGAGTAGAAGAAGCACATGTGCAGGGGCGCATCGACACGTGCAGTGGCGCATCGACACGTGCAGGTTTTTTGAGTCTTTCCTAAGGAGAGTGCCTGGTTAGGATGTGTCCATCCATGGGTTGCGGCTGGAGGAGGTGTGAAATTCTTTGAAGACTTGGCAAACACCGAAGCGGCATCACCTTCACTTCCACAGCGAGCATTCAAGCAAGCATGCGAGGCACACCAATTGCGTATGTCACCACGGAATCCATCTGCACCGCACCAAACACCAGAGCACCTGAGGCATCTCAACAGCGACGTCCACATGCGTGCACGGCCTCGTCACACTCCCCACACCCGCTGCCCCGCCCTCTCCGCCCTCACCCCCATCACCCCCATCACCCCCATCACCGCCCCCATGCGCATGCGATGCAGGGTGGGAGGCGGAGTGGTGGGCGAAGCTGCCGATGACGTGCATGTGCGAGGGGCGGTGGAAGGTGAAGGCGAGGCTCCTCACTCCCTCCGCCCCCACCAGCGCCTGCACGTACGGCAGAGCCGCATCTGCTGTCACCTGTGGGAGACACGGAGAGGAGAGATGTGGGGCGGAGGAGGAGGGGAGAAACGAATGCTTGCAAGGACTCTGGAACGCCTCACAGGCTCCTCACGCCCTCCGCCCCCACCAGTGCCTGCACGTATGGCAGAGCCAAGTCTGCTGTCACCTGCAGTGATGGGGGGCGGTGTGGGAAAGGGGAAGGGGTGGGGGAGGATGTGGGGGGGGGGGGATTTGGTTGGGGAGTGGGCAAGAGACACAATTAGCTGCCGGAATGCACTCTAGCTCGCGTCACGTCACAGGGCCCCTCCGCCCCCACCAGTGCCACCTGCAGCGATGCAGAGCGCGGTGTGGAGCGGTGCGGGTAAGTGTGGGACGGTGTGGGGGAGGGAGGAACGGATTACAGGGAGGAGAAGGGGGGAGAAGGCAGGGAAGGTAGTGAGGGAGCGGAGGGAGTGATAGAGGGGAAGTGAGGGACGAAAAGGGAATGAGGGAGGGAAGTGGGCACCATCACCATCAGCAGCACCACCACGAGCATCACCATGAGCATGAGCATCAGCATCGCCGTGCTGCAGTTCCCGTCTCTCCATCCCTGCTCCAATCCCCCCCAAAATCTCCCCCTCCCCCTGCCTGCCCCCAACACTCTGCCCAACCCCGCACCCCAACCCCCCTGCCGCCTGACCCCTCACACGGCTGTGCTAGCCTACTCCTCTAAACCCTGACCCTCCTGCCGCCTGCCGCCGAACCTCTTACAGAACTCGTGACCCTCACGTGCTGCCCCTGGCCATGGCTCTAATTTCACACTATCTTTCTTATCATACATTGCAAAATCCCTACTCCCTGCCCACTATCCACTGCTTCGAGCACCAGCCGTTGGGTTTGATCACTCCTTCCTAATGTGCCATCAACAGCCGTCTTCACTCCCCACGCGACAAGGCACGACCACCCACAAGAACGGATCACTCACACGGGCTTCCAGCCACAATCGCTCACCTGCTCGCCCTCCGGCATGGCTCTAAGCGTTTCTCTTAGTTTCCCCACCGCGCCATCCACAGCCGCCACCACGCCCTTCCCTCTCTGCCTTGCAGCTGCGAGGTCCACATGGGCGTCCTTCAGGACCGCTTGCACCTGCCAGGAGGGGGAGCAGGAGGAGGAGCAGCAGCAGCAGCAGTAATGGGCAAGTGGCACACACACAGGCACACGGACAGAGGCTGTGCGTGTGAGGCCCTGTTCAGCACCACCACACCTGCCTGAACGGCAGCCTGTTTCGCCAAGATTTTACTGTACAAAGCGAGTCGAACTGGTGAAAGTGCCCCTTGTCAGGGTTTAACCCACGGTTCGGGGTTTTAGGAGGGGGAAAGAGGGGAGACCAGGGTTTATCGACAATCGAGCTAGTTGAGGACAGTCAAACAAATTCAGCGAGGCAAGGGCTTGCGTGGTTATACTGGGGGCTGCAAAGGCGGCGATTGGTATTCAGGGTTGAAACGAGGACTATTTCGGGTTCAGTAGGCGACTAGTGGCGGTTGAGTGGGCGACCATTTAGGCTTGACGAGGCGACAATTCACGAGGGATGGAGAGGACGGAGCGGCGAATGCAGAATTTTATTCGACTTCAAAGAGGACGACGGAGTGGCGAATGCGCATCGTCGCAGGCTGAGCGGAGAAAAGCATCGACGGCTGGAGCGCGCCATTTCGAGGGCTGGCTGCTGAAAGCGGGGCACGCTACAAGCTATAGGAGAGGAAGTGGGGCCTCTAATCTTTGACATGTCGGGCGCGGGATCGGCAGACGCGCGCGAGCAAGAGGTGAGAGATACTATGGGATAGGGCGGGGAAAAGGCGGCGTCCGCCCGCTGGAGGCGGGAAAACGGGCGGCACCTGGTACTCGAGCAGCGAGGAACCCGCCGCGGCCGCCGCCATTGCTCCGCCGCCCACCACAACCGCTGCGCGCCCACCCCGCTTCACCAGCGCGGGAACCTTCTCCCATCCGCCCTTCTTCCGCGCGCCTTGCGCCTGTTTCCGCTTCCGCGAACCCCCAGCCCCGCTACCCGCAGCCCCTGCGCCCGCATCTACGTCTACGTGCGCCTCCCCTTCCTCCGCGTCGCCGTCGCGCGTCCGCTCGTCCTCCATCGCGAGCAGAATTGAGTTGTCCGCGAATCGAGCACGTAGTAGCGAAGTAAAGCAAGAATCCTGTGAAAGTCTCGCCTGCAGCTATAACCTAGTCGGCCACTTCCACTGCGAAAAGACCACTCAAGATGTCAAATTGAAGGCACTCTCTCTTGGCAACTTGCTCGACGCGAGGTTTGGAGAGAGACAATTTCCTGCTTGTGCTTCATCCGCTGCTTCGATAGTAGATTCCGTCCACTCTCGCATCTTCCATTTGGAAATCGGGGTTATGGAATTAAAGAAATGCAGAATTTACAAAGAAATGCTCTCAATAATCACTTGTATACTGCATCTAATTGGTGTGTTTCCCTTTGCAGCGAGTGGTAGATAAAAACACTGATGATCGATACAAGTATATCAAAATCTTGAAATGATGCGTCAGGCCTGAAATAATAAGGTACCCCGCTTATGAAAGTATTATTCAAGCCAAGGTATTTTGAGTCGACTCAAAACTAGGCATGGTAGGGCCTCATTGACGGTAGTGCAACAGTTCTCACACGACGCTCGCACAATGTACATTAATAATCAAGCACGGGCACTGTGTGGGGAGCTCATGAAAGGTTTCTTTCATCCTCAACCTCCGTCTCTAGTGCCGCTACTGCCTCTGCTTCCTCTACCTCTGCCTCTGCTAGAGCATCAGTGGCCGAAGCACCGGTACCAACACGGTTGCTTGTTTCGCTGACTGCCTCGTCACTCACTCCACTGCCCTCCCCCCTGCCAGTGCCCTCTCCATCACTCCCCGCACCATCCCCATTCCCATTCATCACCCCAACCTCTTGCGCCACTTGCACGTCATCACCACGTGTGCCCTCTTTCCCCTCCTTTCCCTCCCCAATCTCTCCTCCCAGCTCACCAGGCCCATCCTCACTGCCAACCCTGCTTGGCACATCTCCTCCCACCACCTCCCTGCTGTCACTGCCTGTTGCCTCTGACACCTCTCTCATGCCTTCATCTGAACCACCTTCCTCCGGCTGATCATCCCTCACACTCAATCTGGCGTCGCTCTGACTGTTCCCACCAGCAGTTTTTTCACCTTCACTACTAACGCTCTCACCAGCATCACTCTTGGCGGAATCACTTAATGAAGCACCGCCACCCTCACCACTACTAGATCCCTCCTTCCCTTCTTCCTCTTCAGAGCCGTCCTTGTTCCTTTGTCCAGTCCCCTCATTAACATCTTCCCCACTTGACCCTTCTGCTCCTCTTGCTCCCTCTCCTCCTGCCCCTACCTTCCCCAGCCCCGCACCCTCCAGGCCCTCACTGGCAGCACCGCTCTCACTTCTCCGCCCGTCCCCACCAGCATCCACTGCACCGTCCAGCCCAGCTGCCCTGATGCCACTCACACCATCAACACCACCCTCTCCACCATCAACACCACCCTCTCCACCATCAACACCACCCTCTCCACCATCAACACCACCCTCTCCACCATCAACACCACCCTCTCCACCATCACTGCTGCTGCTTCTCCCACCGCCGCCATCGCCGCTGCTGCTGCTCTCCTCCGTGCCGCCCTTGCTCTGCTCCCTGTCCGCCTCCCCATCAGACCCCTGCGCTGCTCCGCCACCCGCCCCCTCGCTTCTTTCTCCCTGCTCCGCCTCCTCTGCCTGGCCCCCATCGCCCGCATTCACATCACTGCCACCCACCCGCTCCCCACCCTCCCCACCCTCCCCGCCCTCGCCGCCTCCCCTGCGCCCAGCGCCCCCCAGGTGCTGCTCCAGGCCTTTCAGCAGCTCGTCTATCTCGTGCTGCTCCTCGCCCCCTGCACCGGACCTCTCCCCCCTTTCTACCCCACCCTCACCACCTTTTAACCCACCCTTGCTGCCTTTCAACCCATTTTCACCGCTCCCTCTGCCTGCAGCACCGCTCTCTACACTGTCAGCTGTGGCTTCCCCATCAGCTGCTCCTGTTCCTTCGCCCAGCCCATCGCCACCCCCAGCCCCCCCACTTCCCTCTCCCCCATCCCTCACTCCCAAATCCTCCCCACCGCCACGCCCCGTTCCTATCTCCTCCGCGATATCATCCAAACCTGCTTCTCTTGTCCCACCCACCTTACCCATGCCACTCAAACCACCTCTGTCCGCTCCTCTGCGTTTTCGCCTGACTCGTTTCTCCCTTCCCCGGCCACCCTTGCCCTTCCCCTCTTCCAGTTTGCTCATAATCTCATCCCACACACTCCCCTCCTCACCCTTCCTCCTCACTTCTCCTCTCTCGCTCTCCTCCTCTTCCTCCCCTGAAATTCCCTCCTTATCCTCCGTCTCCTCCTCCTCTTCCTCCTCTTCCTCTTCCACCGCCTCTTGCCGTCTCGATCCCCTCCGGCCCCGATTCCCCTTCACCTTCACGCCTCCCCTTCTGCTTCGTCTCTCCATCTCCCCCCATCGCCTCGCCCCACTCCCCGTTCCCGCCCCTACCCCACCCACTCCCTGCATCTCCCCTCGCTCACCTTCCCCCTCCCCTCCGCCCCACTCCCCAAGCCTTGCCTCAATGCCCCCTTTCCCCCATCTTCCGCTACCCTGCTCCGCCACACCCCCCTGTTCCCCGTCCCTTCTTCGTGCGCCCTTCCCGCGAAACCCCGCTTCCATCCCTCTTCCCGCAACCAGCAGCATCGATGGCGGAACTTCCGCCAATCCATCCCTCCCCCCCACCAGCCTCCCCGCCTCCACGTGTCCAGCTCCGATTGGTGCGTATTGGGGGTGCTGCCACGTGTGCGGCTGATGTACCACGACTAGGCGTGACCCTAACAGGAGGAATGCCGCTATAACGAAGCCTAGACACAGGCACGTGCATGGGAGAATGGTGAGGAGAGAGCAGCAGGAGGCGGAGGAGGAGGAGAGCGAGGGGGGAGTGGCGGGGGAGGGCATGCGGGAATAGGAGAAGTGGGAAGGCGTTATGCGGAACGAATCAGAGAACCCTCCAATGCGCGCAGTTGCGCCTCCCCCTGATCCCGCCGCCCGACCTCCGCCACTCCCCCATACAAGCGCGCTGAGGAACGAGCGCCGGGGGGGCGTGGGGAAGGCGGAATGCGGGGGCGCGGAGGCGCGCGGAGCGGACGCGGCGGGGGTTGCGGATGCGACGGGGAGCGACCACTGAAAGCCGCGGCGCTCCCTCGTGCCCTTTCGCATGGCGCTGCGATGCGAGTCGCAATTGGCAACAGTTGGAGAAGAACGGGAATAAAGTCGACAACTGTCGCTCAGTGAACGCGATGCGTCAGCGCTGGGGCCACATCACTCGATGTGGAACTGCCATGGATGCGTGGCTTTGATCTGCTGACGAGTCACAGGTGGGATGCGGTTTGTGAGGGAGGTGTTCTGGTTGGTGACTGGCAGGTGACAGGGCACACGATACGGTGCAATACGATGCAGTACAAATTTGCACAATTACTATCACTATTCTACTAGGTGAGTGTGAGACTTCATACACACCCATAATAAAACAAATTAAGAATCATACCGTATTCTAAGAAATATTTAAAATGCTACGGATACTGTTACGAATATTAGATGGTAAAAAAAAAAAAGGAACTGTGCACTCCTGACAGTAGCAACCGCGTCACACAGTAAAGGGTATGAAGTCGAAGAGGCGGAATGACGCGAAGAGTCGCGTACGGTTACGAAGCATCAGGACCGTCAGGGCAGACAGCATCAGGCAGCAGCAGTGGCGAGGATTCTGCTGGAACACTCCGTAACCGTCTGGAGTCGCACGGCTGGATTTCGCTGTAATAAGGGAATGTACCCTTTAGAGTACATGGCTAGCTAGGTCGTTTCGTATTTCCCTGTACTCTTATTTGTACGAATGTATTTGCATGTTTTTTATCATCTCAGTAAATTTATATTCACTCTGATCTGAGGTCAAGGGCCCACCACTACCACACGCTCTCTGTCTGAATCGTCTGTATCGTGTGCCCCTGCTTGCCGTACCACGTCTCTCTTCCTCACTCCTTCTTCACCCCTGTTCTATCAAGCTTCTCAACTCCCTGTTCATCTTCCCCTTGTTTCCAGCCACTCTATATCCTGGTTAGTTACCAGATGCCATTGAATGTATTTTAAGCATAGTGTGAAAACAAACACGCAAGCAAAGGCTCCCACATTGCCTACTTGCTTAAGTATCTACTTATGGTTACCGTTGCTCCAACGGTGCTCTTTCGTCCACTGTTTCCCAATTTTTACTTGTTCACTCCGGCCTCCCGCCTGACCGATTTCACCTCTTTACGACTCGCTTCCCTATTATCCTATAAGTCACGAATTTACATCCTGTTCACCTATGCTATGATTAAGATCGTGACATCTCAGCGAACCTTCCTGAGGAGATCCTAAGCACGATCTACTTTCTGATCGCAACATGGTTTGAGAGCGACTCCGGGAACCTTCACATTGCCACATCCGAAAATATCGGCGAACTAAGGTGGCGTCCGGCACACGCTCACGTATAAGGATGGCCGGAGTATCTGGAGGTCAGACGAATCTGATAGCTGAAGTGCAGGCCAACCCGGCCGCGACAAGCGAGGAGACGACGACGATCGGCACCGCCACCCTCGCACAACTGCTTCAGCGACTTTCAACCCTAGAGCAAGGGCTCCAGACATTGCGGAATGGCGACGCGGTAACATCTTCCCAACCCTCTCAACCGGCCGCGAACGGCCACAATACCGCACCCCACACCTTCTCCCTCAACACAAATGGCTCAGCACCCAAGACTCCCCCGTCCTAACGATGAAGCATTTCTCTCCGCTCAATCAAGGATTTTGAGCATATAAAAAATAAAGACAAGTGCTTGTTTTGACGGCAAAGACTTCTATACCTGGAGCTTCGAGCTGGAGCTGCTGCTGCAAAACGCGCAGATTTTTCACTATTTCGACGGGAGCTGCGCAGGACCCACGACCGACTCTGACGACGCCAAGGCGCAGTATTACAGTGAATCGATGATGGCGTACGGCGTGCTTCTCCGCAACATGTCGCTGGCGGAGCAGCTAGGAATTCGTTCCTACAAGACAACGCCCACCCGAGCACTTGAAGCTTGGCGACATTTGAACGGTGTGTACCAACCAACGGATTAGGTTTTATCGAGTCGCCTGCTCCAGCAGCTACTGGAGACAAAAACGATAGCATGGGCGAGAGCTTACGCGATCAAATCGCAATCAAATCGCAAACCTTGGAAGCACGATTTCAGAAGTTTTTTCTGTAAATGTCATGCTCGCAGGACTCGGCCCTGAATGGCGACCTTGCAAGGCGCTTCTCCAGAAACAAGGGGCTATCTCGAAAGCCGCCTTATGCGCCGCCCTTCTCGTCGAACAGAGGGACATGGGTCAGCAACGACCATCGCTACGACGAGAACGGAAACGTCTCGCCTTCTACGCCGACAACACAGAAGAGCGACGACCGCAACGCCTTTACTGCAAAATTTGCAGAAACTTCGAGCACTTGACGGAGCGATGCAAATTTCGCTCTCGCCCCCGCCAGACCAATCCGAGCACCTTGTCCGGCCGACAAGACGCACAGCACGACACGCGTCACGCCTATCAGCCCCAGACGCGCAACATGAACCCAACAATTCAGCACCAGCACCAGAACCAGCAGCCGTCGCAACCTGCTCTCGCTCGCAATATCATTGGCAACATGACAATGACACACATAAGCGGATCTCGCCGTCGCCGCATGCGCACGCCGTCACCCGAGCGAGCACGCCATCCGATTGGGGCATTCACGGCTAGCAACCCATTCACCCCCCGACACGATTTCAGCGACGATGACGACCAGGATTGAACCCTCCCAATCCCGCTGCTTGAAAGCCCCCCCCACGTACCTGATTCGTGAGCGGCTCCCCTTGACTGGATCTCGCACAAACGGTTCCTAAAGTTCGACACTCCGCACATTGTCACGCCGCGACTGGCGCTGCTCGCGTGCGAAGACAACAAGAGGTACAACACCTGGTACCTCGACAGCTGCTGCGGGCAACACATGGTCGGTTCCGAGCGTTTTGTCTCTAACGACGTCTCGACCCCCACGGTCACTTATGTCACCGTGGCAAACAACACTCGTTTGTGCGCAAGTGCGCAAAGGATTGTCGTGCTCAAGGCGCACGTGAGCCGCACGCATATCACACTGAACGATGTGCTAATCGTCCAGAATCTCCGATTCAACCTCCTTTCGGCGGCACAACTCATGGACTGCGGAGTCGAGCTTAGCACGAACATTCGAACGCGCGACATACTCCTGCACTACACGGTGCCGACCAAAGCGCGCAGGCAGATCGCACGGGCTACTCTGAGAACTGCGTGTACATCCTTGACTCTGGAGGTGCTGAGCTTGGGGGTGCTGAGCCTGGGGGTGCTGAGCCTGAGGGTGCGGAGCCTGGGGGTGCTGAGCCTGGGGGTGCTGAGCCTGCGGGTGCTGAGCCTGAGGGTACTGAGCTTGCGGTTGCTGAGACTGGGGGTGCTGAGTCTGCTGGAGTTCCTGCAGGTGCCTCGTCTTGGCGGGAGCCTCTCTCTCCACCGCTGCTGCGCAAGTGGTTTGCTCGCCACTGGAGACTCCAGCGAGTGGTTTGCTCGCCGCTGGAGACTCCAGCGAGGTGCTGCTGGCGCTGGAGCTGCTGGAGGTGCTACTGGAGCTGGGGCTACTGGAGGTACTGCTGGTGCTGGAGCTGTTGGAGGTGCTGGAGCCGCTGGTCCCGGAGGTGCTCGTACTGCAGGTACTGGAGCTGCTGGGGCTGGTGGTACTGCCGGAGTTGGAGCTACTGGAGCTGGAGGTGCTGCAGGTGCTGGAGCTGCTGGAGGTGCTGGAGCTACTGGAGGTGCTGCTGGTGCTGGAGCTGCTGGAGCTGCTGGAGGTGCTGGAGCTGGTGGTACTGCGGGATTTGGAGCTGGAGACCCTGGAGCTGGGGGTGCTGGTGCTGTCTCTGCTGGTTCTGGAGGCGCTGCGCGGCCGCGGCCGTACTTCGTTCCACTTCTTCAGCAGGTTCTTAGCCTCCGGCCTTCTACTGGTCCCACTCTTCCCTTAGTGTGTCCACAGCCTGCTCCGTCGCAGTCGCAGCTACAGCCAGTCTCTCCGCTGCCTGGTCCGTCTCCTTACTGTGGGCCGACTAGAGGTCTTACAGAGCGTCGTGAGCCTGAGTCTCGTCCTACATCGCCTGAGTCTCGTCCTGCGTCGCCTGAGTCTCGTCCTGCGTCGCCTGTTCGCGCTGGTCGTACTGGTAGTCGTGTTCCGCGTCCGCGTCCTCCTGCTGTCCCAAGCACACACCGGATGGCGCTTCGTCCTTCCACTGCTCCACTGCGTGTCCCACTGCCGTCTCCTCATGCGTCCTCCCTTGCTGAGGGTCCTGACCCGGAGTCTGACTCCCTTCGTGCTGCTAGTCCTACTATCACGCGTCTCCTGGCCACTGTTGTCACTGACCCGTCGATTGAGTCCACTGCTGCGTCTGCCCTAGTTGCTGACCTTGTTGACTTTGCTGCCGCCTCTCGTCTAGACTACGCCGCTAGCCTTGTTGCTGAGTCTGAGTCTGAGTCTGTCTGTCCTCCGTCCGTCGGGGGTGAGTCTTCTCTTGGCACGGACGTCCTTGAGGACAGGCAGGAGGACTTTGAATGTATTGCCGCTGCTTAACCTCATCTCGTGTCCATGCTGATTGCCCCTGAGGGAGACCCGGATGCACCAGACATCCCGACTCCGCGCTCTTACGCAGAGGCGATAGAGGGTCCCTACTCCTCTCAGTGGCAGACAGCCATGGACGCAGATATGGCTTCCTGGAAGTCCACAGGCACCTACGTCGACGAGGTTCCCCCTCCTGGGGCGAACATCGTCAGTGGCATGTGGATTTTCAGGGTGAAGCGGCCGCCGGGTTCTCCGCCTGTCTTTAATGCGCGTTACGTTGCACGAGGCTTCAGTCAGCAACAGGGAGTTGACTTCTTCGAGACCTTCTCCCCCACCCCGAAGATGACCACTCTTCGGGTTCTGCTGCACGTAGCTGCTCAGCGTGACTACGAGCTTCACTCTCTTGATTTCAGCACTGCTTTCCTACAGGGCAGCCTGCACGAGGAGATCTGGCTGCGCCGCCCACCTGGCTTCACTGGGTCGTTTCCTCCTGGTACCCAGTGGAGCCTCCGGCGGCCAGTCTACGGTCTCCGCCAAGCGCC